AATGAAAATACTGGTGACTAAGAGGATTGGTAAACTTGCGAATCAATGGGATTTAAACACGTTATTATCATATAAATTCAGTCTATCATAATATAATTTATCCCAGCCTCACAATCTGGCGGAAGTGTAAGGAGAAGCTGCAGGGAGTAAAGCTGTGAGCTGAGACTCTGCTGGAACTGTGCAGCCTGATCTGCTGGATTGTGTCTTCATACAGACGAGTCAAACGGATGGGACGTCCGACAAAAACAAACACACAAACGCGCACGCGCACACGCGCGCACACACACACACACACACACACACACACACACACACACACACACACACACACACACAGACACACACACACACACACACACACACACACACACACACACAGACGACGTACACACAGCAGACACACGTGGATCCGTGTCTTCTATTTCGGGCCCTTTGTGCTTTGTTGTGGCGGAGAGATGAGGCTCGGGCTGATCCTGCAGGAGGGAGGAGGTTAAAAATGAGCTCCATCATATTGTTTGACAGAAACTCGCAGGTTGATAGAGTGGATTCTTTGAGAAGGGCTGAAAATGGTGATTTCCAAAAAGAAGAGAGTGGGGAAAAAAAAAACAGCTGAGGGCTCACATGCCTGCCTTTCAGGTCACTGCAGCTTTCACGTTGTCCACCGTGAAAAATCCAGAAGTAGAATATAGATTTCAATATTTTTTTGTTTTTGTGGAACATAACTGTGGTTGTGCGAGATTTTATTTATTTATTTATTTTTATCTTGTTTTTATTAAACCTGACAAGCTGAAGATTTTGGCTGCTGGTGTAAAATAATTAACATAATGGTCGTAATTACAGGCGCGCTAACAACGCCATTAATTGATCATATCGTTTTAGTAGCTGCTGCCCCCAACTGCTGCTTCATCTAATGAATGAAATGAGTTGCCTTTCAAAAATCTGCTTCCACAAACAGCTGATCCTGACGCAAGAATGCGAGTCAAGTGAGGTACAGTACTTTGACTTTTTATCATACGAGCAGACATGAGTCTCATATCGGTGTAATGCGTTTTAATGGACTCGTTCACAATGCAGCAAAAACGAATATTGTCAACTTAATGAAGTTTTTTTTTTTTAAATAATGAATCAATAATCTATACATGGAGCCTATTTCTAATGAGAAATCCTCTAAAAGGCCGCGTGAGAAAGGCGAATAAACATGTGCCACATATTTTCAAACACGTTTTTAAAAAATCAAAAGATTAAAAATGTGAAAAGGGCGAGGATAAAGATTGCCAAAATATCAGGGATTCAGCCTAAACGACATTTCACTGGGTATTAAAACATCTTTGCTCCAAACAATGAAACCTGTTTCTGCTCCTCTGACTGCTCTTTTTTCTTTCTGCCATTGTGTGTGAGCATCATCAGGCACGCACCTTGCCCATAAAGCTCCACATACTTTCCCACTGACCTTTACCTCTTACACAGACACAAACTGATTTATTTATTTTTCCTATTTGGTCTTATGACCTTCGAAAAAACGTGAAAACGTGCACTTCTACGTTTTTTTTTAAATAAATAATATAGTGAAATAATTATCACTAAACCTATATTTTAATTTTGGAGTAGAAACACCAGGAAAGTCACTGATTTGCAATGTCACACTGAGGGAGCACATTACTACCTTCTGAATTAACTATATTTTGCATCTCTGTCACTTTTGACACCCACCCTGCTGGAAGGCCCCTGAGCAAGCACCCACACCCTGCCATCTTCTGCAGGTGACCCTGACCTCTGACCCCAGAGAGACAGAGGGGCACACAGGGGATGAAAGAGAGAAAGGAAACCTCCCTCTCAGGAATCACCGGAGCTTCACATTATTATGATCACAATTATTTGTTGGGTGACCTTGCCGGTAGTTTGCAGGGATCACATGTGGTGACTGTTTCCTCTCCATCACCTGTGCGGCTGCTGCTGCCGCTCCACCGATGTCTCTTCAGATCTGCCCCCCCCCCCAAAACCACCACCACCCCTTCAACCCACCCCACCCCTAATGGTTTCATGCCGGAGCGAGTTGGCTTATTATACTAAAAGGTTTTGTCGCGCTAAGCCGTGCATGTGTGCTTAAAACGTACATTTCATTAACAAACTGCGGAGGTATAAAAGCGGATTTATGAGGCTTCAAAAGATCACAGGAAGGACGGGTTTGAAACCCCCTCTCGGTGCTGTTGCAGTCAGGTTATATCAGCAGTTACGCCGCCTTTCACACAACACTGCAACTCTGGGATTTTTTAAAAGGAGGCTGGCTGCACCTGTCACACACACACACACACACACACACACACACACACACACACACACACACACACACACAGGGAGAGAGAGGCTGGTTGAGACAGTGGCTCGATGACCTCCTGATTCCTTCACAATCCATAAAGATAAGAAAGGTGGAGAATACAAACCAAACATGTGTCATAAAGCTCCTTTATTTTGCTGGTGGAAAACATTTCTTGCAGTATTTTGAAGATTTGGTTTGGGTCATGACTAAAAACCTTTCTGTTGTGAGAGAAAACCCCGCCTTTAACAAAAAGCTGATAATATCAGAAAGATTTTTGAAGAAATGCGAGAAATGTGTCAAATCAGCAGAGCAAAGGATAACAAATATCATCTGATCTGTTTTCGATTAAAAACGAAACATCCCAAACAAACAACCTTTTTTTTTTTTAAAGAAGGTCATTTTCTAATTTTTGGCCTGAGAAAACAAGAGAGCGAAGAGAAACGCGCTTTCTCAAGTACAGATGCGCCCTGCGGATAAGTAGGATAAAAGTTGATGTGGACTCTGGTTTCATCTGCTAAGTAGTCCGTATTGACGGAGCTCCAGATCACACAGGTCACCGAGAGATTAACACGCGGCGAGTCTAATCGGAAGCCATGTTTCCCTCCTTTGACCCGCACGCGCATTATTAATGATAGCGTTTGATTAATCCGACTTTTATCCCGAGAGCAGAGACGTCGGAGGTGGCGCAGGAGCAGCATCACCTCTGCGCGCTGCTAAAGACAAATTAAAGGATCACACTGACACCGCAAACTGACTGTGAGATACAAAAATAACACTGATGCGCTTTTTTACAGTCCATGAAAATGTGCTTTTTCTTCAGATGCCTTCAAATTGTATCATGTGAATTAAGGAGGCTAATTAAATGTAATTATCTAGGTAATTAATGGGATGCAAATTGTTTTTTGTGATAATAACAACAATAATAATAATAATAATTATAAAAACAGTAGGCCTAATAGGCTAATAATAACACTAAATTAAAATATATTCTGTCCTATACTGTGTTTTTAATTGAGACAAAGGAAGAGAAATAATCATCAAATGCGTAATATCTCCATTTGTAATTTATATTTATATTTTCATTTATTCAAATAAAGCTTTTGACACCAAAACTCGACCGGTGTTGATTATAGATATTTTCATTAACCTCCTAAAAAGACCTCCGACAAAAATCAATTGTAGGTTGAAATCGCTTGTGGCACATCGGAAATCTTATTATTTCTATTAACTACGCATTTTCCTTCAAAAGACAGTGATAGCAGATGGTGGCTTTGAACGTTGGCTGAAATTCAAAAGCCTGCTCTTTCACTGAGTCCTCTTAAATTTTCTCACACGGCGCAGGAAACCCTCTGTATTGGATGTGACATCCTCTCCCTGAGCCCAGCCTACACCGCTCACCTTCATGCTTGTGAATAAACGCTCTCTTTGCATTCACCCGCTGCCCGCATTTCCTACTTTTTTCAAATGTAAAAACATGCAATGATTGGGGTCGTTAGCACCTCATCCAAACTCTTAAGGAAATTCTTTATTCTCTCCATTCATTGTCGCCAGTGCTGCTGTTGTTGCTGCTGCTGTTGCTGCTCAATATTCTTCCCACCTTCGGCTAATCCTGCGGGAATAAATAGACTTGAATTCATGGTTTGCATTCGCAGCTTGGATTTACACAACGGTCTGTAAAGCTGGAAATATCAAGGCATGCATTTCAGCTCCAAATAAACAAAGTATAAATGTTTAATCCTCACGCACTGACAAAATCTCCAGTGCGCAGAGTGACATTCAGGGAAGCTGGTTTCTATTAAATTGCAGAAAAATCCACACATGCATAGTTTCACAATTATAAAGAAAAGTCAACACACAGGCCAAAACAACTTAAAGGAAGATTCCGTTAACTTAGCTGTCGTTGTTCTCGTTCTGCAGCTTTCAACAGAGTTTGTATTAGCAAAGTTAAAGGTTTGGATTGTTTTTACGCAGCCACGTTAATGCGCATCAGATCTTTCAATCATGCGGGCCAATTTTCTCTCCCCCTCCTCCTCCTCCCTCTGCCACCGTTAAATGGTCTATGACGGACGAACACAGAAATCAGCGGAAAGCAGCATTGCCGATGTCCCATTGTTGACAAATCCATGAAACAACTCCAGTTTGCATGGTTTAACAGAGAGGAGAGGAGGGAGGAGAGGAGAGGAGAGGGGGCGTCTGTCGTCACCAAACCACGTGTCCTGCACTGATAGTATATCTTATACTGGGAAAAGTAATCTATCAGACAGCCCTTTTTAAAGCTCCGGCCTTTAAAAGCGGCATGTGTCATCTCGACTTGGTTCTCCGAATATCGCTCCTATAGGAAATATACGCACCGAGAAGGGACGTCGGAGCGCAGAAGTCGCAACATCTCCAAACAACTCCGAGGCAAGACGCGCTGCTCTACACAGGCCTGCTCACTTACCGAGTGGAGAAATATTTGTAGAAGTTGAAGTTTCTCTTTGGCTTGACTGGCTGGCTGCCGGCTCAACCACATTTAGATTTTGGGAGACATCCGATCTCTTGACAGGAGCGACCAGAAGTCCAACAGAGTCGCTGTGTGTGCGCTCTGACCGCGCTGGTCTCATCTACACATCACACCCGGCTGCTCGGTTGTTTTGGCCCCGGAAGACTTTGTTTTAAAAAAAAAAAAAAAAAAAGTGTAAGTAAACCGTGAGATGACCCTGTCTGGAGGCAGCGAAAGAGCCAGCGACATGTCCGGCCAAACTGTGCTCACAGCGGAGGACGTGGATATCGACGTGGTCGGCGAGGGAGACGAGGAGGGCATGGAGAGGGTGGACAGCGACTGCGACAGCCCGGGGGGAGGCATCCTGCACGACCTCCGAGGAGAAGCAGGGGACGAGGAGGTGGAAGATGAGATCGAAGTGGAGAAGGAGGAGATGAGGTCGGGTGGAGGGAGTCCGTGCTGCGAGAGCTCCGGGGAGGGAGAGACTGGCACCGGTAAAGGAGAGGGTCACGACGGGAGCGCAGCGCCGGGAGGTGCGATCCAGAAGCCCAAAAGCAGCTTGGTAAAGCCGCCCTATTCCTACATCGCCCTCATCACCATGGCCATCCTCCAGAGCCCACAGAAAAAACTCACCCTCAGCGGGATCTGTGAGTTCATCAGCAATCGTTTCCCGTATTACCGGGAGAAGTTCCCGGCATGGCAAAACTCCATCCGCCACAACTTGTCCCTCAACGACTGCTTCGTGAAAATCCCGCGGGAACCTGGTAACCCAGGCAAGGGCAACTACTGGACTCTGGACCCAGCTTCAGAGGACATGTTCGACAACGGCAGCTTCCTCAGGAGGAGGAAAAGGTTCAAGAGAGTTCAGCCGGACGTGCTGAGGGACCAGACTGCGCTCATGATGCAAAGTTTCGGTGCGTACAGCCTTGGGGGGCCCTACGGGAGGCACTACGGGATCCACCCGGCTGCATACTCCCATCCGGCGGCTTTGCAGTACCCCTATATTCCCCCTGTAGGTCCCATGCTGCCCCCGGGCGTCCCTCTCCTGCCCTCGGCGGAGCTGAACAGAAAAGCGTTCAACTCCCAGCTGAGCCCGAGCCTTCAACTTCAGCTCAACAGTCTGAGCACGGCGTCCATGATCAAATCAGAGCCGTCCAACAGACCGTCTTTCAGTATAGAGAACATCATCGGGGTCTCCAGCGCCTCCTCGTCCTCGCCGGGCGCCGCTCAGGCTTTCCTGCGGCCTCCGGTGACGGTTCAGTCGGCCCTGCTGAGCGCGCAGTCCCTCTCTCTGACCCGGACCTCAGCCGCTATCGCTCCCATCCTCAGTGTACCGTCAAATATTATTTCTGGACATGTTTTACCCTCAGCGACGGCGGCGGCAGTGTCCAAATGGCCTTCACAGTGACTTAAAAACTAGAAAAAATAAACTCTTATTTTTATATAGAGACATTATTACTGGTGGAAGTGTGAAGAGCACAAATCAATAGGCAGCACTGGACTCTGTAGCCATGTAAAGACTGTTGAAACACTGAGAAAAAGAGAAAAAGGAGATATTTCTGTACAGGTAATATTTGTAAATATTTGTAAAAAAGAATGATTTTACCTGTTTGACTTCTACCTGTCTTTTTTTTCTTTTGTTCTTGTTTGAGATCTGTGATAATTATTTTACATTTTCTTTTTGTACTGGAAGCTCAATGGACCCATTTTTGGCTTCCTTTTCATACAAGACACAAAAAGCTCTGAAAAAAATAGACTGTTTATAATAAAAAAAAAATCAAATATATGTAATTCTATGTAGCTATATTGTGTTGTAAACTGAATTTATTTGTAAATAAATCCAAGAAAGAATTCAAATCAAATTTTCATTATTAACATTTTAAAATTGTTTGGTAGATTTAATGAGTGTTCTTGTTATATGAAATTTCTCACTGCAGGTAGACTATTAAAAATCAAAGATAAGGAAATGTATTAATTTTGACAACCAAATATAAAAATGGCATACAGTAGTATTTATGAGGCCACATAAATTCAAAGTTGTCTTATCTTGTGAATATAATGTGCTTACATTTACTTAATAATTTCCAGGCTCAAAACAGATTTATAGCCTTTATTGTCCAAATTTCACGATGTTAAAAATAATCTATATTTTTGAAAATTCATTTTCATGTTTAATATTATTCTACTTATATGTGTCAAGTAACACAGGGAAATTAAATTGTATTGTTGCGGCAACAGCTAAAGTCAACCATACCTATTACCTCTTTTCAGTAGCCTATTAGACTTTTTAAAAACCTGGATTGCAACTTTAAAGGAATATTTTTGGATTTACTCTGTAAATTAAATGACACGTGCTGCCAAAGGTAATAATAAGAAAATTAAGAAGAAAAATAATAAAGCTATATTTATACAGATAAAAAAAATTAAAGGACTTTAAGGAAAGGGAATAGGTGAAAAAAGTATAATGTAAAAGGAAGAAGATGTATTATCCTGAGATTTAGACAAACCTAAACATTTAGTTTACATTATAGTTACAGTTTACAGAAACATGCATCTGATTGACACCAGATTGTGGACATTAAGACAAACCGGTGTGAAATATGAACATAAAGGGGTAAATAATACAATAGTTTAATTGTTTTTAAATTATATTGATAGCTGTTTTTCCTGACAGTGATCCCTGACTAGAGGTCATAGTTTAGACACCTTTTAATTTACCATTACATCACTGCTCGTATCGTTTTACATGATATTCTGCGGCTTGGCTACTATAAAGGTAACAGTTTCGCAGTTGTGTCTGGCTAATCACTTTTACACAAACAGCAAATGGTGTGTGTGTGAGTGTGTGCGTGTGTGTGTGTGAGTGTGAGTGAGAGAGAGAGAGAGAGAGAGAGAGAGAGAGAGAGAGAGAGAGGGGCTATGGGCGCTATATTTATCTGATCCCCATGGGAAAGCGAAAGGAGCCTCTCTCTCTGCTTCAATTCACTTTCAGACACCGAAGAAGGTGCTGATGATGCAAAAGGCTTCTCCAGTGTCACCCTGGCATTTCTACTGAACACATTCATTATTATTATTATTGGCCTGTTATCATCATTATTATTATTAGCCTATGATTATCTTTATTATTAATAGTAGCCCAGCATAAAGGTTCTGAATGATATTATTGTTCTGTAATAGAATTACTCTTATTGCCAAAATAACAACATTTACCACATCAGCGCACATCATTAACTGCCGTCGATGATTCCTCTAATCGAAACATATAACGATATAGAAAAAAAAAAGAAATAGAAATATAGAAATGACAGGGTCTGTAATTGGTTTTTGATCAATCCTGTCATTATATTTTTCAATCACAGCTTATAAATTACGGAGGTATTTAATATTCACACACTCACTTTAAGAGACAGTTAAATTGGCTGTGGAAGAAACATCCAGGCACCTCCAGAGGTCAGTTTCAGGAAACAGTCAGACACTGTATAATTTTGATCAAAGATGTAGGCCTATGTGGAATAACAAAATGGGACGTTGTGTGAGAGTCTTGTTGTTTTGTTGTTGTCCTATTGTTATATTAAAATCTGTTGGAAAAGGCAGATGCGCACTTGGTTAACACGTTTATAGCTTTCATGTTAGTTATTTTCATCTGTGGTAAATTTCCCTTGTGTGAGGCGTGTGTGTTTGCAGATCAAGGTTCAGCCTTCACAAAACAAGAGAGTCGGAAAGCCTCTTGCTCACACGCATGTCTCACTGGATCAGAGTGCCTCCAGTAGAAATGCACAAGCAGTCTCCGCTCCGTGTGATGTCTCAGTGTGTGAGTGTGAGTGTGTGTGTGTGTGTGTGTGTGTGTGTGTGTGTGTGTGTGTGTGTGTGTGTGTGTGGTGTCGCACCGGTGATACTGCAGGCTGACAACACCTCGGAGGAGACGAGACTTAAGCCGCTAGGGGGCGTTAACTGACACCTCTGGCTCTTCATTAAGGAGATCAAAAAATAGAAGAAATATTTAGGAAGTCTATCTCACACACCCAGTTAATTTTTTTTTCTCTCCACATTTTAGGTTGAATACATCTGTAGAATTAGTCAATGTAACTGAGTATGCAGAATTTACTTTAAAGAAGAGACACTGGAATAAACGATTATCTGGTCTAATCGTTAATTTTCTTTGGCAGTAGTTTTCTTTTATAATGATGTGCGAAAGCGATGGTAGATATTTTCATCCACATTCTCAGTAATCACAATATGTCCACGGCTTCATAGCATACAGGGGTATATATACCATTTTAGAGGGAGACAAATATTTATCTTGGAGTAAGGATACTGAAATTGCTTTTATTAATTAGGTTCTAATTTCAGATTTCAGTAGCAGATGATGAGAAAATACAACGTTGAAAAAATACAGCAGATCACTCCTGACCTGAATTGAAAAAAAATATTAAAAGTTCAAACTGAAACTGTGTTGAAAATATTATAAAATCAAGGTGTAAAACGGGTGATAATGACAATATAGGACCGAAATATATAATAATATTTCCCTCCATACAAGTAGCAGTTAACATCTCCGCGGCTCTGTAAGTCTGTTCAGGCAGCCCACTGTAGGCCTATATGCTTTCAGCCCGTTGTAAATTGTTGTATCATAAACGAGTACGAGTTTTTGGCTTTTCATGTTATTATATCGCCAACAATACCATTTGCTGACTGGACGCATAAGAACGAACAGTCCCATTCGCGCGCGCACCCACTCACCAATAATGACCTATGCAGCTGCACGTGCTTTTGCACAGGTGGAGAAAAGCCTGGACTGTGGTTCCCACAGCTCCACCAGACAGTCTATATTAGTCTCTAGAGACAGTCTATAACAGTCTATAACATTATAAGTCCACGCCGCGTGTTTGATTGTCGACTTATTTTACCACAAAGTGAGCTCATGAGCTGACAGAGCTTGTACTGTAGGCTGTATGTAAATTAGCCGACACAGAATTAACATGACATTCAAATCAATCAAATTTTGTCTTTAATTTTTTTAATCAATTAATTAATTCATTTTTATTTGAGGTTTTGATACGATTTTTTGTTAATGATCTGGGTGTATTTTTGCACACCCGTGAATGTGCAGGGGGAGAAGAATGCCATTGTTCCAAAAACCTACCAAGTTATGATTGTTAATATGCATCATATCAGCCGAGATAGCATGCATTTATGATGGAAAGAGACATCATAGTGTATGTACCTGCCTTCAAATACACATAGACACAATATTTCACTTTCATTTACCCCAACTTATTGGAAAAAAACACATACTTAGTTTAGTCCCATTGTTTGAGGCATTGGGTTTTCCATGAAAATATATCAGGTGACAGGAAATCAGGGGGAGTTTGACAACATGAGATGATATCAAGAGCCACAAAAATCAGGATATAATTGTTTGCAGTATACTGATTTGGCTAGGTGCTAGAAAGACCGAAGGCAAACATGACCTCCACAAAGATTATCACTCCACGCTGAAGCCCACATTTCCCAGTTGTAATTTTGAGATTTTTCAAAGTTGGATAGAAAATAATGTTAACACAAGACTAAGCAAGGATATTTATTATAAGATACTGTATATAATGGACATTCTGTGACCCTGAAGCCCTCAGTTTACCATCTAACAGTGTAGTCTGAGTAGGAAAAGCATATGTGAACCCATCCATACATTTATTTACCAATTGTGATGGGAGTCATGTTTAGACAGTGCTTCAGTACCTGACCCATGTGAACAACAGGTCAAATTCAGCTGTTTGCACAAATACATTGCAACTGCTGTGGATATATACAGCTTAATGTTTTAAATGTGACCATTTTACATGCAGATGACAAAATCTCAGACAAATAAACCAACCGAATCAAAGCAATCCATTACAACTGTAATTTAAGGCTCCAATTTAATTATTTGCTGAACCTAAAACAATATCAAAGCATTGGAAGCATTAGTAGTTTACATGCTCAAGTGGTTTATAAGTTGGCAGTTCTCCTGCATCTGATTTTTACAGTATAATTATCAGACCAGATATTTGTGAATATTACACCATGCAATAACAAGCAGGTGTCAAATAATCACTCTGAACATTGCTGGTTTGGGACGGACAAATAACGATGTTTGAAACATATCTCTGTTTGTCCATATACTAAATCCTAATCAGACATTTTTATTTGATCCTGCTGACACAAGCCCACAGCCACCTGCAGTGCGGTTTGTCAGAGTGAGTCCAGCGTGGCTGAGTGATCCTTTAAGAAGTCTCATTTATATGTAATTCTTTATCTGTTTACCTACGGTTTGTCTTGTCACATTACTGTCATATCCAGCTGTACAATATCAATATTTCTTGTTCCCTGAGTGAATGAATTGCTTCATGATGTCATCCCATGTTGTCAAAACTCCACATTTGATGGGAAACCATATGACGATGGATGCAATTGCTTTTTTAGAGGAGTTCCTATTCCCCTTGTCCCATATCTGGTTGAGGACATTTCTTTTAGTGAAGGAGTTAACGTGTCACCTGTGACCTTTGAATCAGAGAGGGCATGTTGAGTGTCACTAAAAAAGACTGGATCACATCCCTCAAAATACATGTAAATGCATACTATAAATACTGCAGTATTTTCAAAAGAATTCACTGATGGTGCAATTAAGAGAATATCTGCAGTGAATTGGGTAGTGGTAGGACTTGTGTGACTCCATAAAGTAAATGCAGACTGTACTTTTAAGTAAATCATAGGATAATATGATGACGCACATGTCATTTTTCAACAGAAATGCTTCTTATTATAGCCTAGGTCTTTATTTGTCCTCATGTTCACTGTGAAACATGTGACAAAATAGCAGAAAAGATCAACTTTGACTCGCTGTAGCAAACGTGACTGAAGCTATGATAGACAACAATGGCATTGCAAGCAAGGCCCAGGCCTCCATAATAACTAGGTCATCCTCCACTACAAGCTATAGCCTTCTCCTGGGCGGGGATCACAGACAGTAAATGTAGGTACAGCAGTTACTGAATATTTAAAAAGGCATAGAGATGAAGCAATAAATGACAAAGTAAAGCTGGTGTGGCCAGGCATTAATAACTAATGGGTACTAGTGAGTTATAGGCTGCTGCCGTTGTAATGAAAGTGTCATTGCAAATCAGCAGTTGTCCGAGGTTATTATTATTTATGCATAATTGATGCCAGAACCACAAGGAACGCGTCTCACCCAACAAATCCCAACACCTTGGGAACAAAGACGATGGTGTCAACAGAAGAAAAGGTCACAGAGGAGAAAATGCCCCCAGGCTGAGATTTACATTGTGAGAAGAGGGCAAGGGGGGACTGTTATAACCACACATACATCTGTATACTGAAGGTTACAACAAACTAGTTACACATGAGACAACTGATTCTCTACTGCTCCTTACATGCAGTGGATGTTTGCTACACCATGGTTAGCTGCCACAAAATGGACAAATAGGTGACACATGTAGTTGCACTATAGGAATTGTGTGCTCCTAATATGTTTCTGTGGCTTAGATGTAAATATTTGTTAAATTATAGCATAGGTTTGCTTTTAAGAAATCATAAGTAGGCCTACATTTAATTCAAGGGACTTTCACTAAGTGCCAGATATAAAACTATACTTCTATTAGTTGCCCCTAATTTGCATAAAAGAAAGAGTTTTAGAACCCACAAAATCTTGCTATGCTGACAGTTAATATTAAGTAATGTTATTTTATATAATGTTAGATAACACCTTTGTATTTTCGAAAATGTTTCATACTTGCATTTATAACAGTTGCTATAACTTGTATTATCACTTTTAAATGTCTCAAAAATAATAGGCTAAATGTAGCCTGTGGAGTCAAAATGATTAGTTTTCATTATTGTTAAGCTTTGACTGACAGACAAGGGCTAGCTTTATGATATTAATATCATAACTGAAGGAACAAGAAATAGGAGAAATTTACTTGCTATAATGAAAGAAAGAAATTCTCCTGTCATTGATTCATTTATCCACTTTGGTTCACCGTCTGTATTATGTTATTAGCCTATTTTGTTATTATATTATTAAGCCTTTTCAGCAGTGGTATCAGGAAAACAAATGAAAGACACGTTGCAACTTATTACCTCAAGCTCAACAAGAAAATGTGATAATAATGAAGACATAGACATTTAATGATTCATGATATCAATCAATTTGTCTTAAATCTCAACTCAGAGGATGATACATTCCCTGTACCTGGGAAATTTAGCCTTTCCTTATTCGAGTTGCAACTATAAACAAAAACGGACGATGACTGCCAGTGATATAACCACACATCTGACGTCAGACTAAAAGTACTTCTATTTGTGTCTGCCATAGCACTGTTTGATTACGTTATTATTCTCGCCTCATCAATGGAGCGATTGTGCAGTGAAGGGACATTTTCCTTTTCTTCCAAATGCTCCCAAACGCCTCTCAACTGTCAGTGCCTACGTCAGCGTGTATTGACCAATGAGAAGGTGAAACGAAGCCTATATGGATGACGTATACAGGAAATGTAAACAGATTCCAAAACTGTCTCAATGAGCAGGTTTTTATCGTTTATTTTTCCTCCAAAAGCTCATTTCTACCGGTCAAAGTTATGCAAACTTGGAGTCTCGTATCCATTTGTGTTTTGCTGGGCGTTGTTGTGAGATGGGGAGTTTCGCTAAATTCTTATTCAGGTAGAAAGTTTGTGGAGCTTAATATTAACATGCTACATTCAGAGAATCACAACTGTCTTCCTTGCTACACTACGGTCTATTTCAGCGGAGCCTCGTTGATTTTATATAAACTACAAACATAAAGTTGGATGTTACTGTTAGCGGTTAGCATGCAGTCACATGCTTAAATAGCTGTCACTGTCTGTTGTTGTGTGTTTGTTGTCTTGCTGTCATTCACTGATGCAGTTTCTCATTCATGAAGCTAACAGCTGAATGATTTTTCTCCAGGGGCGGGGAAACCTCCCATGTTTGGCGACTATGAAGCTCAAAGGCACTGGCAAGAAGTGACCTACAACCTCCCTCTCCAGGAATGGTCAGTCTGAAGCTTCATTTGTGATTTACTGTTTTTAAAGGCTTGTGGTAAAATAGGGCAATTTTGCAATGACTGAACTAAATACACACAAGTGTACACTCACTTGGCAGTTTATTAGGTAAACTAAAACTAATGCAGTCTAATAAAACAGGTCCTCCCTTTATGATAGTTATAATGTAAAATTATCATATAGTTGAATCAACACCTGTCTAAAACAGTTTCAACAAAAACCAAACAATAATCTTTATGACGGTGGGATTTTTTAACTTGAGGACTGTTGTATTAGACTGCATACGTTTTGCCAGTGTACTTAATAAACAGGCAACTTAATCCAAGGTACTGTGCTCAGTATCTACTGTACTGAGGTACTTGTACTTCACTTGACCATTTTATTTTTATGCCATTTTATACGTCTACTCCACTACAGGAGAAATATTGTACTTTTTACTGCACTGCAATTAATTATTGGATAGCTCACTTACAAGTTACTTTACACATTGAGATTTTTGCATACAAAACATATAAAGTGCTTATAAAATATGATGCTTTGTTATAAATGAAACAAATAGACCTTAAATGATTAGTCAGCTAATCTAAAATTTGATTGATAAAAAATAATTTGATAACTATTTGGTTTTTAAGTTTGATGTGGGATCAAAAAGAACCAGAAGCAAAAAACACGTTAAAGGGATCTATGAGACTGCAATCCAGAATATTTACCTTGGACCTATGGAAGTCTGACACTTCCACAGTTTCAGAATAAATATATGTAATCTTTGTGCTCTTACAGGTACTTTAACACCACAGACAATGACTTGAACTACTGGGGTCTTGACTACCCTCCTCTTACTGCCTACCACAGCTGGATCTGTGCTTATATGTAAGTAATTTTTATTAGATTACAGTGGATAAATGTTCATTGAAAATTTGTATGTAGAAGGGTAATTTCAAGGTCGCAAGAGACTTTCCATGTAGTCAATATGAGTGTAACATACTTTGGTATCATCATTTTCCTGCAGAGCCAAGACCATAAACCCTGAATGGGTGGAACTCCACAGATCCAGAGGTTATGAAAGCCCAGCACACAAGTTATTCATGAGAGCTACAGGTACAGTAATTATAGGAAAATAAAGTGAAAAACATACACAATGTCTACTTCAAACTTAAAATAACAATAATTTCTTTACCTACAGTACTTCACTTACTGTGCAGTAATGGTACAAAAATGAATTAGATCTGCTTAGATGACACATGGCTGGATAGATACTTCAAATCTTAAGTGTGAAAATGAGTGTTAAAAAAACATATGATATCATATGGTTCTTTTTCTGTTCCAGTCCTGGTGGCAGATTTGTTGATATACATCCCTGCTGTGGTTTTATACTGTTTATACCTGACGGATGGATCCCCTAAGAAAAAGGTAACACACTTGCCTTTCATGACATCTAGAAGTTTTTTCAACTAAAGAGCCAATTGAGCGACATTTTCCTCTTAGTCTGGGAACCCACCCTTATTAAAACAGATTACAGCACTGGTCCACCAAATTGAGGAATTGTGAAGTCATTATTGCAACATGATATGATAATATGATGTTATTACATTTTCAGGAAGTAACTGCATTTCAGTGGGTCTTTATACATTCACAGTGCAATTAGTTTAGAGGGAAAATGTCTAATGTGTTGACAGTGTCTTACATTGTCAAACAGTTATTGTCTGAAAAAAGGCAGAACTTGAACAGGTTATCCCAGCTTGCATTGCCCTTTGTTCAATACATGGGAGGACAGACTCCTGGTACCTAACTAGGAATAAGAAAGTACTGTGAAGGAATCAGTGAATAAAGAAAAATATCTGACTTTGTTATGATCTCTCTTTGACGGATGAACCTTCGATGCATCATTGACTACCACTGCACCTATTGATCAGACTAATAATGAGTAGACTGTAATTAAATTTTAGTTATATTTGACTTCTGCCAACTTTTAAATGCTCTTTCTTTTTCTCCAGGTTTCAACTCTGTTCTGCTTCCTGCTCTACCCAGGACTAATTCTCATTGACTACGGCCATTTCCAGTATCCTTTATGTACAGGTGCATTTCTACTATTATTGTAGTAGGAATTGGTGACATTCTATGGAAAACTAATGTTCAATGCTGAAACCATTGGAAATACTTTCTCAGAATCTTTGTACAATGATGAGTTGAATTCAGTTGAAATTGTAATCTGGTGATGTAAGGATTAAAAATATTTTTAACAGCTTGAAAAATTTAATTTTACTCAGTTGTGTAACACTAAATTAGTGTCTTCTGAATATAAATATTAAAAGAAAAATCTAGGAGATTTTCTCATAATTTATGAAAGTGATTATTTGGCCCCACAGCAACATTATATAAGATTGTTTATAACTTCAAGATACTATATGTGTCATTTTTGCATTTTATGTATCTTTGTTTGTCACATAATGCTACTTTATTAGAGACTATATGGTGAGAAACAGTAGCTGACTTGAGACATAGTAATGTTATTTCATACATGTAGTACTGTAGCTTATCCCTCGGTCATATCAGGATAAAATGATATAACCTACAGAACATCTAGATGCAATAAAAAAGAGAGATTTACATTAACCATAAAAATGATGGTTCTTTGTTCCAGTGTTTCAAGCTGGACACTAAAGAAAATGATGAAAGAGTTTAACATGTCTAAACTGAACCGACCTCAGATCAGCTACTGTTTTCTAAAGTGCTTCTCCCATTACAACCACTAAAGAGACACTTTTAGTCCAGTATTGACCTTAATGGTATCAGGTACAATGGAGTCAGCCAGGGCTTTGCTCTGTGGGGGGTTCTGGCTCTGGGTCTGGGCTGGGATGTGTCGGGTTCCATGGCCTTCTCCCTGGCTCTCAACTACAAACAAATGGAACTGTACCACGCTCTGCCCTTCTTCTGCTATCTGCTGGGAAAGTGTGTCAAATTGGGTCTGATGGGAAGAGGGTAAGTCTATTTAATTGCTTATTTACTGTGTCCAGAGCAACTTGTAATCAACAAACTACAATTCCAAGAAGAATAAATTAACGAGAAACCAGTAGTATAGTGGTCAAAGGTCAAGCCATAGTGCACTGACAAAACACTGTGACCAAAGAAATTTAAGTATTCATTCTTGCAATCAGTGATGATTATACATCATATCTCAATAAAGTAAAGGCTGCTAAATAAACAGTTCTGGCAAACTCTGCCACTCCATGTTTTCCTCAGTCCAGGATCCCACTAGGAAACCTTAAAAAATCAAGAGCATAAAAATATAATTCTTCAACAGAGTATTCATTGGTTATATTGTTTTGTCACGCTCAATAGAAGTGTCAGCTGAGTGCTCAAATCAGATACACTATGTAATGTCAGTCTATAAGAGAGCAGTGTCCTCAGGAGAGCCACAGAATGACTGACGTAATCAGATTGGATGTTGTTACTAGTGTGTCCAGTGTCTTGTTTATCTAGTAACAATGTACCAAGGGCATTTAGTAGCAAATGGAGAGCTGGATTAGAAGAGCCGGGGGGAAGATATGTCCAGATGACACTCTCGCCATGCCCAAACTCCTCAGCTATGCCTGTGTGTGCAACTTAACCAGCAGCTTCACAGTTACAGCTGACAAGATATCCTGACCTACACTGAAGACTTTCAGCTGATGCATGGCTTTCACTACATTCCTCAGCACAAGGGTCAAACCCCAAATTTAGGACTTGCAGACAGTGTGTACTAATTCCTCGAGGAATCGCAGCAGACATAGACATGCTTAAACAACATTGCGAATGCCAACGTATGTCCTTTTGGAAATTATGGTGACAGAAACCATCAAAATATTGTTTCATAGTGTAAAAGTAAAAATACAACCTGTGTTTTCATTATTACGGTATATCTGACCCTTCTACTCTCAGAGGTAATGCATTTCTCTGTGTGACCCTTTTCATATAGGCTTTTCTTGTTGGTGAGAATTGCTGTAACAGTGTTGGTGACTTTTGCCCTCTGCTGGCTGCCCTTCCTGTCTGACCTCAACCAGGCCTTGCAGGTGGTTAGGAGGATCTTTCCCGTGGCTCGTGGTCTGTTTGAGGTACAGTAGAGTTTCTTAAATCAAAGCTTAACCTGAAAACAACTGAGAAACTTCATTTTCAAAAATAATATTTGTACTCTTGCCATACAGGCAATCTAAGAATAGCACTTTCCTTTACTCACAGTCCCAATATGTCATTTTAAGAAAGAAGTAGAAGAAGATAATGTCTCCTTACAGATCATGAATATAAAGGCTAACCAATGAGGGGCCGTACAGGTCACATATACATTTCCTGTTTCCGCTGCCCTTGAGGAAATTGGTTGGGGAAATTTCTAAAGACTTAATGAATAAATGTGACCCTAATTATACTGAACAAAGTATAACGGAAATCCTAATACTATAAGTAGAATAAAAAATGTTAGGCATTTTGGCATTCTTAATAAATCTAAGGAATATTTGTATGGCTTCCAAAATAAAATACCTGTAATCTTGTCTTTTGTTTTGTTACGAGCCAACAAAAACGCTGCTGCCTTTCTATTGCTCTGTTGGGTATCAGTAACTTCATATCTTCTTGATATCTGTTTGTGTCTGCATATGGGACAGTTCCTGAGTAAAAGTACAGTAGTATCGGCATCAAAATACCAAAAGTAAAATTACTCGTTATGCAGAATGGCTCATCTCAGAATAATGTTTATTATATTATTGAATTACAATTATTGACGCATTAAGTGTACATCATTTCAGTGTTGCAGCTGGTGGGGCTAATTTGAATGGCTTTATAGACTGCTGGATAGCTTGTGAATTCCCCCCAGGGATCAATAAGGTCTCAACCTATGATAATACATTAGAATTTATTTTTTTATTTATATTTTGGGAATTAATAATCGGAATATGCAAAGTCAAATACAGTCAAGTAAATGTAGTCAAGGTAAAAAGTACAATATTATAATATAAGTATCAGTATAATTTTTCTTGGTGATGGATTTATTGGTACTGTTGTAATTCTTGATTAACCCTGTTTGTGCGGGATCAGTCAAGGGTCACTGTTTTCTAGGAAGTGACATATTTCCAAGAAGTTAACTCCCTCAATTCATGGGGATTTGAACAATTTACAGCACAAGGCTGTGACCACTTCCTTTATGAAAGTCAGCCACAACCTGCATAGCACTCCTCGTGCCTTACACGTTGTTCCATACACTCAGCATGATGAGCACCCTTTCCACCCCTCCAGTGCTTAGCCAGTCGGAAATGGATACCCTGCAGGATCAAAGAAAACAGTGGAATAAAATGGTGAAAGGTCAGGAGATCATATTCACTCTATCTCTGGGAGGTGTTGGGGTTCAGGACGTACAGTAGGAGGATATAGATAAATCTAACTAATTTATGGCTGGGGTATTTTCAGCACTTCATAGCACTGCCATGTACTAGCAATGTGGACTGATGAGTTGGGCCAACTCTACACTTCCAGGCGTATCAGAGCAGATCTGACAACTGTTGCCTACCAGTGACCACTTTGGAAAGCGTATAAGTTCGTTAGACCGTGTTATAGTGCACACACAGATTTATATGCTGTGGTCACTCAGTCAGAGCCTCTGTGAGGAAAGGAGCGACAGGAATATGATATTAATTAACAAGGAAAGCAATAGCGAACAGTGAGAAAGAGACCTGAAACATTTCCACAGTCGGCAGCATTAAAAGCTGTCACGGAAGAAGCAGAGGTAAAGTAACTGTGTGTGTTTGTGTGCTTGAATGTGTGACTGATAGCTCAGAGGCCAAGGTTTGCAGTTCTCATTTCTAAAACCCTCTAACCCCCTTCATGTCTCAGTCCCCGAGGTGGCACCCACCACAAGGTGTCATGGATGTGAGAAGTAATTGAAAATTCTACCAGGGGAGCGGATGGCAGCGTGCACTGCGGCAGTATTTGTTCAACGAAATGATGCAAACATAATACACAGGGTGTGAGAGACACTATACTCCCCTGTGACGACAGCATGAGAGGCTGCTGGGGCGAGTTGTCCTGAACTAATTGTGAAATTGTGCACGTAAGCAGAAGCTTTGGACAAGGGGACAGGGGTGAGAAGGGGTGGTGGGGAAGAAGAGGGCTGGTGACTGGTGGTCCTGGCGGCTTCTGGGAGGGAGCAGTTGTAAGTTTACCCACTGAGCTGCATTCTGACGTCTCACGTTGCTTGTCTGCTCACAAAAATGGCACCAAATGCTTCTCCCTGTGAAATTCCATGGTAGCTTATAGGTGAAGGAGCCGCACTGCTTTTGCCCCCCTTACATTTGCTGATGGGTACCCCCCTTGTTCATGTGTTGCCTTCAGGCGGTGTCCAGGAAAATTCCCGTAGTGGTTATTTGGAGCCAGGAGGCAAAGAGGGAAGAGAGAGGGAAGGGGTTGAGACAACACAACACTGGACGACCCAGTGCTGCTGACTAGGCTGCCATTAAGATCCACACAGCTGTGCTGTGAGCAGCTGTAGCACAGAAGAGAGAGCGGAGGCCAGAAATAGGCTTTCTAGACAGGGCCACACTGAGAAACCATCATCACAGTGGACTCATAAAGCTGATCTAGGCAAGCTGTCTCTATGTTGTGTGATATCATGGTGCACAGTGGCGGCTCAGGCCTCAATATCATCTGATCCCTGCACAACTGCTTAAGCACTTAAATCAACTGAATCGCACCGCAAGCCCCTCCTCATCTGATCTCACAGCTTAAAAACCGCAAGTACTTTTAGGCTGACATTAAAGTTGTAACATACCTTCTATGTCATTCACAACTATACAGATCTGATTTTCCAGATTATTCATAAAAACAATATGAACTGACACAGTCTAACAAGACAGAAAGTTCTGATGTTTTCATTAATTGAAATGTATCTGCATCTGTTTTGATAACAGGCTGACTGATTGTTTTATTCACTTTAATCAAGCAAAAATATCAAATATTCTCTGACTTTATCTTCCCAAAAGTGAGAAATTGCTGCTTTTCTTCATCTTACATTATTGTAAATTTGATCTCTTTGAGTTTTGAACTGTTGGTCGGACAAAACGAGTAATTTACATAGACATGAGTTTGTGCTCTGGGAAACTACTTTCTTTGATTTCATAAACAAAGCAATTCTTGATTAATCAAGAAAATAACTGGCAGATCATTATTGCTAGATGTAGCTCTAGTTTTCAGTAAATATAATTTCAATACTTTTTTTTTTTTTGCTCAAAAACTTAATATATTTAATTATATACTGAATAATTCAACATATTGGCCTTATGTTTTTTTTAGCAGTGCTCTGTGGTTGGTCTGTATCTGCTGCTTATGCAGAAACTACTCCGGTTTGACACTTGACCTTGTGTCCCCAAGTTTACAAATAAGTCCCATGCTTTTTCTGACAAGGGAGGAAAATTTATGATGGAGGGTTACATACAAATGCCCCCCTGGAATGCCCCGAAGAATTTTTATTGCACTTTCAGTAGAGAAATAATTACTTAAAGCAACGTATTTGCTTTCTCTTCAAAATTAACTTTTGAATTGAATTTTTCAAGCCATGTAAATTCACCAGACCACATTTTATGTGTGTTTTTGTGTTTGTGTGTTTGGTTTGTGTGTGTGTGTGTGTGTGTGTGTGTGTGTGTGTGTGTGTGTGTGTGTGTGTGTGTGTGTGTGCAGGATAAGGTGGCAAATACATGGTGCAGCTTGAACCTCCTGATAAAGATCAGATCCATTCTGCCCAGTCAGTCTCAGCTCTACCTCAGGTAATCCCTCTATCTATCAAGTAAGCTTTCCACTTTGTTCCCCCCTATCTGTCATTGTTTTTTGTTCTTTCTTTCACTGTGTTGTCTATCGTTCTTCTCTTTACTCCTCTTGTCTCTTTGTTTTCACTCCTTTCATTTCCTGGGAAAGCAGAGCTTGCCCAAGGGAATGAAGACTGTGATCCAGCGGAGTGGAAATAAGATCATCCCTTAAGGAAACATCTTGTGAGGAACTTCTGAACATAAAGTCACAGCTGTTTTTGGAAATGTGATGACAAGAGGTTGAATTGCCCAAGGAACTACTAAAGCATGTGTCATGTTCAGAATAATACGCAGAGTAAATCAAACCGATAACAAGATTTTCTTTTCAAAAATATCATGATGGATTATGTGATTTATTGTGTAATATTATAAAGTGGATGAGAATTGAGTGAGGCAAATAAATGGTGCTATACGAGGGGAGAGCACGTAGAAAGCATGAAGCACTGGACTCGTACCATTTAACCTTCAGTATCTGTACCCGCCGGCCCACAGTGCATCCCAGGAAGTCTTTGGATATGATACGTTATTTTGACCAAAAGCTGAAGACCTGTGCAATCACAGTGAGGGAAATGGTCAATGCAGCAGTTGTGTCATGGAGGAGCCCGCTTAAGTAACCCGGCCCGCTAAATTTAGGAGTCCTATGTTCGCAGCATGGACACGTTTTCTGCCAGACTGTTAAGTCCAGGGATCAAGTTGGACTTCTTTGACTGTTGTGCATTTCAAACAAATGAAAAACACTCTTGTCTTTTTGGCACAGGCATTGGATTGCTAAATGCTCTGGTGTGGGTGTACTGTGTACATAGAATGAATCAGCTGTGAAAAGTGATCCATGTCCTTCCGGACCACAAAACCCTGCCCTACACATAACATGCACATAACACTGTGGCCTCCATACACACTAAATACCCACTGACTGGACTTTTATTACTGCTATCTATCTTTCTGTCTCTTTATCTCGCTATTTCTATCTATCACTGTTCACATAATGCTCTCTATCACATCTACAAACGGTCGTACAAACACATTGTTGCCCTCACACCTTGAACTAACTCCCTGCCCGACCTCTCGGCACATTTATACACATTCACACTGACACATAGTCAGTCTCTTCCGGTGCCGCTGCCCCCAGCAGGTGACAATCGAAGGGTTAAACTAATGCCTGGTAACCCCCAGACACGGCCAGTATTCGGTCAATTCCCTCATAGCTGGGGTCTTAGTCGCAGAGCAGGCGGCGTCTAAAAAAGAACAAGATTATCTCGTGCCACTGACACTGAAATGAATCTTGCCTTGTTGTTTGTGAGTGTTTTGTCCTTTTGGCAAAATAGTAGACTGATTTTTAGTTATATGGTCATTATATTTTTTTTTTAATTTATATTATATTCCTCGAAACGTATTTTATGCTCCACAAGTCCTCTGCATTATATTCTCTTTCTACTGTACCACTACATCCTCTCCCACTGGAGTTTTTCAGATTTTTTGTGCACCTAACTGTTGTTGACAGTGCTGAAGAGAGATAATCTGAACGCTTGTGTGAATTGTTTTTCCAGTTTTGCCTGCACTCTCCTGGCAGTCCTACCTTCCTCTATCAGGCTTCTGACAAAGCCCACCTTCTGGCAGTTTAAACTGGCCTTGGTGAGTGTTTTTGGCATGGATTACCCCAACCTGTCTACTGTAACTGATTTCAAAACAAATGCACTGAACCTCCTTTCATAGAGAGACAAGGTCTGTTTTTCAACTAATAACACATAATATATTTAATTTAATCATTGTAATTTATTTGAGACCTTTTTGCATTTCACTCACTTTTCTAACACAGTATCAAATATATATGATATTATAATGTGAAGATTATTAATGCCTGTGTTCATACACTATTTTTTTCCTTTCATTGTTTTTATTGAAAAGTATTCTATCAAGTATTATTGTTCAGTAACAGTGGTAGTTGTTATATTGATTATCTCATTGCCACTTTTAGGTCAATTCGTCTCTGGCATTTTTCCTGTTCTCCTATCAAGTCCACGAGAAGTCCATCCTTTTGGCTGCCTTGTAAGTACAGAGAAGCTAACTGTAACTTCTTGAGGTTTTGTCTCACTGGATCACATGTAACAGCAGGGACGGTAACAAATGTAAATGGTACTTTCTCTGTCTCGCACTGATCTCTCAAATATTCATGAGTATAGATTTAATTTCTACTCACAAAGGAGCCATTCGCCTCGTCCCCACCACAAATCTTAAGTTATGTCTTGCACATTGATAATAAGTTGAGTACATGTGCACTTTGTTAAAGTGACGTCATTCTCCTGCTGTACTCCCAGAGTTGCAGGGGAACAATCTATTTAAGTACAGACTTGCTAACTGAGAGGTTATTCACCTCTGTCATCACTCTGTGCCGCACAGACACAAAAGCAGCCCTCACAGCTTCCGTTGTCATCATATGTGTCAGAGTTGGGTCATATTTAACAGACTAAATGCATTACTTGCACATGTGAGTTTAAGATGTGCATGTGTGTGGTTCATTACCATTTACCTCCATATGTATAAAGCTGTGGCGGCTGTAGGTAGAGAGAGAAGCCTGGGATAGATTTGACAGCGAGGGATTTGGTTCCTAGATCTGGGCTCATCTATTAATCTAGATTAGGGTAGATTGTTGCTTTATTAACTATTGAGTTATATCTCCCACCTGTCCCCCGCAATCAATCAGTAATGCATGTCCAGGGATTAGGAAAGAATGGCAGGCGGCAGCTCGGGGCGTTGTTTGCGCAGGATCAATTATTGGGCTGTAACAGGATCGCCAAAGAGCACTGGCTGTAATTATGGGCTCGGGGACCGGTGGAAAGTGCCCCCCTCGGAGCAGAGTGTACAACTAGCACCGTCACAGGCAACCAGGTTCAGTTAACAACGGACTACCACACAGAACCACGCCATTCAAAAATACATTTATAAACATTTGGAGATCTTCATTTTGAAATGGAACACTTAGGTCAAATAAAAGTTGGATTTTGAGCCACTTTTCAGGAGGTTTTACAGCATCAAACATGCCAATGCAGATAGAGTAAATAAAAATAATAATAATAATAATAATGATAAACCTTATTTATATAGCACCTTTCATACACAGGATGTGTCAAAGTGCTTTGACAAATATAAATATATAAATAAGAGAAAGGGAGTTAAAACAGGGAAATCATTAAAAAACAGGGAAAACATTTAAGACAAAACATTTAAAAAAAAAATAAAAAACATAAAAACTCTAAGAGCTATTTAAAAATGTCCACTGAGTCAACTACTCTAATATTTTTTGGTAGGGTGTTCCACAGTTTAGGTGCATAGTGGGTGAAGGCCCCTTCCTCAGTTTTATTTTGGGGGACATTTGGAACATTTAGAAGCCCTGCTGTAGATGATCTAAGGGCTCGTGGAGGGACATAAATTGACAGACAATCAGTGATGTAAGAGGGTGCCAATCCCTTAAGAGCTTTGTATACAAGTAAAAGGACTTTAAAATCAATTCTAAAACATACAGGGAGCCAATGTAGTGTAGCCAGTACAGGAGTAATATGCTCTCTCCTCCTTGTTTTTGTTAAAGGTCTAGCAGGGGAGTTCTGAATTAGCTGTAGTTTCTCCATTCTCATAAAAAGGCATACACTGATGTAAAATAATTCGGTACAACAAATGCTGACTGCCTTGTGAACAACTGTCAATAATTGTTTCACGTGGCTGTCCCATTTGGTTAATAGCTTAAATATTATACACGCATGACATCAGCCCACATCCAGCTTCAGCCTAACATGGACTCACTCACTGTCTTGCTGTAAAATAATATTTAATGGTACTGCAGAGTGTGTTCAATAGCAACTACATCCAACTTTGATCTTTCCTAGGCCCGTCTGCCTCCTGCTGAATGACCTGCCCCTGATGGTAATTTGGTTCCTGCAGGCATCATCATTCAGGTAAGACTATGTGGAGGGAAGGAGGGAAAACTGTGGACACGGACAGTGGATGAATAAAAGCTGTAGACATGTTTTAATCCTTGTTTATATCAGAGGTCCAAGAGCTTTTTGGTGCAGAATCTAAACGAGAATTTAATTTTCTTGTTTGCGATCCATGATCATTAAAACATTTTGTCTTGTTGCTACCATAACCTCAACTTTTGTTCAAGCTGTTACTAGGTGTTTTCTTTCCTTTCAATATAGGAGAGTATTGTAAAACACAAAGGTCCTTCCTTGGTTGACATTGCCAATAATGTCTGCTCAAACAAGGACTTGTTTTTAGATTTGTGATGGCTTTCAGCTAAACAGCAGCAGCAGGATTTCAGCACCTTTGCTGTAGTCACCTCTTGTCTTTAAAAAAAAAAAAAAAGAGATATTTTTAGCTTGAAGGAAGATAAGCCTGGTAGTATAATTCAGACAAGATCAAAATAAACAGTGAATTTTAAAGTTAAGATAGAAAAGGACTGGCTAAGTTGCCACATAGTACATAACTACAATGCCCATGTTATCCCTTCCTGTCTCACACTCTATTCTGTCCCTCGCTGCTACTGATAACTATCAAATGAAAAACACCATAGAAATAATCCTAAAAATCCAAGTGGATCTACGATGTGGGTTGAACTAAGGACCATGAATGGAAAAGACAAGTAGTGCTGCAAATGCTCCATCTAACTTTCACCAGCTGTTGTTAAATTCTTCCGGCAGCACTAATTGTTGTGTGTGTGGTTTAGTATAAGGATATCTGGGGATTACATGGCATAGTCTGCATGCCTGCCGTCTAAGTGTGCGTTGTGTAGGGACAGGAGGTCATTCTGTAGCTGTTTCCCAGTACAGTCTGACTTGGACACATTATCTGCATCCTCCACAGACTCGGCCATTTAAAAAAAAAAAAATACATCTTTTGTTTGCATAATTGGCTGAATTGGAGCTCAACCATAGCAATTTTAAGAGGGCAGAATGCAGCCAGTCTGTTTAAATTGAAGAAGTATGTATTTCTAAAATGTTTAACATTTATCTTCTGAATGGAGCTTTATTGTTGGAGTAAAAATCAGAATGAGTGGTTTGTTGTGAGCGGATTGGTTTTCATAAGGTTGGGTGATGTGCGATTTACTATGAGTCAACTGTTGTTCTTGTCTATGTCCCTCTGCTAAACTAAGATAAGCTTGGCATGAATGTCAGAGCCATCTCTCCCCAGGGGAGATGAAGCTTGTTCAGGCCTGTTGAGTAAAGGCAACACGATTTACTGTTGCCCTTCTCTCAACATGACACTGAACTTAATGATGTACTGTTGGACGTTTATGAAAATCTATTGCATGTGTGCCATCAATCAGCAGTGGAATATAAATGATTTCTGTCAGTGTATGTCCTTAACACTCACTATTGTGCCATATATATTAAAGTTGTACAAGTGTGTCTCAAAGCTCCAGCTACACTTTGCATTCAAAAGTGGAAATGACATCTGCAGTGGCTACATCTGTATGTGATTCTTGCATCTTTTTGGGTCATTGTGCTTTGCTCAAGACAAAGACATCAGCAAAAATGCTACAACTCTAAACTGTAAATTGTTCTTGTTGTTGTCCCTCTGTGCAGCATGCTGCCACTGTTTCTGAAGGATGGTCTGCTGGTGCCCTATGTTGTGACCTCACTGGCCTTCCTCTTCTTCAGCATCTATCTCCTGTCTGCACTGGAGCACAGCTCAGAGGAAGAGCTGAGACTGGGTGCCTACCATAAGCTGCTCTTCTGCCTACCCAAAATGGACCTGGCGTGTATAGTGAGATGGAAGGTCAGTGTTTAAGCCATGGTGCAATGACTAACAGTACAGGAGCCACTCCAGAATCCTGCACATAGGCATGTTTTACTTGCCTCAGATAAAGACACATGCTGAGTGACTAACTGATGCATTTGTAATACGAAGGGTGGTGATTTCAAGATCCCAGGTGGCCTGTACTTTGAAAGTGGCACTAGACCTAAATTGCAACTGTGTGAGAAGATATACCCAACTGTATAAATAAAGATCATGTGCCACTGTAAGCTGTGTAAGCTGTCCAGGGATGAAAGCCACTGCCAGCCAAAGAATTATTTATCACTTATTTAAGTTTCCACAGTGTCTGAAGTGGCTGCAACGCCAGCCCCTTAGCGACAGGGGCACCGATAGGGTGTCAGAGATTAAGAGAAGGTGTCTTTTTATAGCGCATGTCATTAACACAGGTTTGCCTAGATATATTTATTTACACAAGCAGCATAAATAGCGAGCCCCGATGATGGCGATAAGGTTTCATGGGTTTGGGCTGGCGAAGGCGGGTGTGGGCATGAGGTGGTTCCTCCATCTTACTCACTGACTTATCTCTGGGTCATAAAGCCCAAATAGACACACGAATGATCTCACTTTCACTAGCACCTCTGTTTGTAACGCTGTGACAAAATAAAATATAAAAAGTGGCTTTACAGACCAAAAAATTCAAATCACTGTTCTGTAATATGATATTTCAAGCCTCAGTCTTTTCTTTATGGCAACGCTCAAATGACCAATTTGATGTCCACCATTCAGCAATAAATATTCAAAGTGATTTGAGAGCTCTTTTGAATTAAATCATTTATTGGTTTGATATTATAGTTGCGATTAAAATTAAGGAAAACGCCAACAGTTTGCTCATAGCCTGAGGTGCCCAGTCTTTTCATCATTTCACTAGGAGAAGTTCCTGATAGAGAATATAAATTTATCATCATCAAAATCACTTCAGCAAAGAGTTTTCTACATTAACAACTGTGAACGGTCTCTTTTGTTGAGAGCAGGCACGAGCTTATCAGTCATGCTCTGTTGGGGCTCTCACAAGTAAATTAACATAATGGCATCCAGCTTTGAGTTATGTCTCTTTATAGCAACTTTACAAAAAAAACAAACAAAAAAAAAAACACAGCTTCTAATTGTATTCCTCAGTGGAGAGAGTTTGCTCTTTTGTCATGATGATGGCATTCTTGAGATCTCCTGCCTTTATACATTTGTATGCAAAAGTTTAGGCACCACAGGACCAATGACATATTTTGTTGATTTTTGATGTGAAAAGAAGAGAATAAAACCTTTCAGCCAGCTGACATTAAACATGAGCCTTTCTTCACATGTTAATATGCACTGTTAGTTAAAAAAAATTGCAAAAAAAACAACAACTAAAAAACTAAAAATAGCAACAGCAGGCCATCTGCATCCAGAATTCGTGATATTTAGTGGAATCCATTCTTCCCTCTATCTGTGCAGTGTTTCCTGTGCCACTGGCTGCCACACAACCCCAAAGCAGAATATTTACACCCCCATGCTGAACTGTTGGCAAGGTGCTCTTTTCATCAAAGGCTGCTCTGTAGGCATCAGTTAGCTTCAATTTCAGATCCCAGTCGGTTGCTTAGAGGAGCCCATGGTTGTTGAGTGTTAGAAGGTTTGAGGAGTCAGAATTTATCAGCTGTGGAAATGTCATCAGCTGACAGTCCCTAATGACAATTCTTGACCTGCCATATAAGTCCTAATGAGTCAGTTAAGGCCTAACGATTTAATGAAGTTCTGAGTGTCAATGGGTGCCTTAACTTTTGCACATGCCACAACTGCTGTTTTTTACTATTTTTTAAGGTCCTGAAATAAAAAAGTAGCAACGCTTTAACATTTGAAGAAAGGCTGGTTTTTAATGTCTGTTTGCTGCAGTGGTTGTATTTACTGATTTTTCACTTCAGAAATCAGCCAAATAGGTTTTGTTTGTCTTTTCGCAGGTGCCCAAACTTTTGCATACAACTGTGTGAGCTCATGTTATGAAGTTGCAAGGTCACAAGATGACAACCTTGTAGAGATTATCCACAAATGAAGACTGTAAGATGCAGTTGAATGATCTGGAAAAAGCGAATAAGAAGATCTTAAGCTAAGGTTATTTTGTTAAGCTATGTGATGTTTCGACTCTTGTTTTATGTAGCTCTGAAGTAGAACCTGAGCAATTATTAATTTTCTTGTTAACTAATTTTACATGATCCTGTGGCTTTGTTCTTATTTGAATCAGATAACCTCTCTCTCTCTCTCTTACAGTTCTACATCAGTGTTGCAGCCATGGCTGGTTTGAGCATTGCGAGTGTAGTTCTGGTCCCGCCGCCACATCTACCTGACTTGTTTCCTGTGTTGGTGTCAACCACTGCTTGCCTGCACTTCCTGGGGACATTTATATATTTCAACATTGTCCAGTTCAGCGGGCCACCCAGCAGAAAGAGCCAGAAGAAGAACAACTGAATGAACTCATTTTGCTTCAGGAAAGCCAGTGTTACACTTTGGGGTATATCTCCTCTTAACATGCATGAAGCCTTTCACTCGCTCCATCATGTTCCAAATACAAATAGCACAAGTGCTTATTAAGGCATTGTGCTGGCTAGAAAATTTACTGTACTACAAAATGCCGATTCAGAGAAGCTGTGACATCAAGTGAAAGGAAAGGGTACTGGTATTTTTGGACCAACTAATTTTGTGAAATTATAAAATGAATAAAACGTCACTCAAGTTAGCTTTTACTCAAAGTATTTCTTAATTAACCACATGAACTAGTTCATGTGGTTAATTAATACCTCCATTCTTGAATTATTTTTGTTTGGACCATTGCTACTGGGCTATTTCGGCCATTTGGCGACATCACAAGTAAACATGCAGTAGACGAGCAATGTACAGCCCACACATTTGACTTCTGATAGCTCAGTGTCTGTAAGCTCAAGCTACAGGAGATGGCCACAATAATAGGAACACCTGCTGTAATGTTATGTTAAGACCTTGTCGGAGAGGTGCCGATTTAATTTTTTGATAATGCTTAAAGCCATAGTGGTGGTGTTAGATTTAATGATATTGTAAGGTGTTCAAGTTATTTTGTCCACCCCCAGTACCTCCCTTGGGGATTGTGATTAAACTCACAAATGATGGGACTGTACTCAGGTCTATTAGTAATAGTTGTTCATTATCTATTCATGTGGAATGTTTTTTTTACGGTTTTCTACTGTATATTTTTATCCATCATTGAAGTTATTTTGTACAAAGTTAGTTTTTGTGAAAATAAATAAAAATTCTCAATGATCTAAAGTGAAAATCAGTTTTATTGCCACATTGTTAAATGGTTTGATTTGGAGCAGCTTCATATAAACTGTCTACATTAACCAAGTAGTCTTCTAAATCACCCCCTAACAGTCTAGCAGAGACAGAGCCAATAATTGGATAGAAATTATATCTTTCAAAGCTTTTACTCAACATCATTAAATATTAATTACAAGTCCTGGATACTGCAGGGGTCCTGTACAAAAGACCTGCACATTTAAAACAAAACCAGTGACAGGAGAGGCCTTAAAAAGAGACGATGGAAGGTGACATATCTGAACATAATGCTATAAAGTTGAAATACCACAGAAAAAGGTACAAGCAATTTCTTTCTCCAATCTCTGAGCGAGTTAATGACAGGCATAAAAAAATCCATTACAACTATAAATGTTATCAGGTCAGTGAGGGTTGCCTGTGCATCTGAGGCTCTGGGCCAGTAGCCACTAATGGGCCATAGGGACAAATAGGACCCTAAGATCTGAGTTAACTGGCACTACAATGGGACATGAACACAAGGGGCCAATCAGAGGTGGTGTGAAAGCCATTGGTTTGCTCTTTTATATCACATGTTTATATAACATAAGGCCAATTCATTTATAAAGATGAGGGAAAATGAGAATTTACCTTAGCCCACTTCTGAAATGGGAGTTAGTAATAAAATGCAGGTAAACAATAAATATAGCTGAAGTAAAAGATTTAAAAAAAAATTAACACATTAAAAACTACAATTTATGGTCTGTTTTATAAGAATTAAATAGTGCTTCCCTCTCTTACATTTTTTTAATAGAATATCTGTGGATTTTTTACCTTTGGTTGGAAAAAACAAGCAATTTAAAGACAACAGTTTGGGCTCTTGGTACTTGTAATGGACATGTCTTACTTTTCTTTACATTTTAAAGACTAAACAAGTAACTGATTAATTAAAAGAAATAATAATCCAAAGACTAATTGCTATTCAATACAATCATTTGTTGCAGATCAGAAGTTAAATATATTGTATATAAACTCATACAAACCTATATATAAACCTGATAAACAAGGGGAAAACACTGGTGTATGTGACATCATATTCCCCGTCACAAACAGTAAAGCCACAAAATGTAATACTCATTGAAGCATCAAACTGCTTTGTCTGGCTGTGTTAACACTGCTTTGTAGAAACTGATTTGAGACGGATTAGGTTTGCGAGCCTTTTCCTATTTCAAACCACAGTGAAAATACGACCTCTGTCACTACTTCGCTTCTGACTACTTATCCACGGTGCACATCCCCTTTCTGTGACTCTAAACCTTGGACTACAGGCAGGCTCAGTGAGTCGATACTGTACCCCAAGAGCTAAAACTCTGTGCTAATGGAAGACAATGAAAATCTCTCTAAGGGACCACACATTACTACTACACATTATTACTTGTGTTTTAGATCCCAACCTATAGTTTTGTGTATGTAAGATGTGGATGTATTATTGTAATAGGAGTGGGGAGTAGGAGGACTAGTATTAAAAACACTATGCATCCCTCTATCACCCTCCTAGGGGGATTGTATCAAAACATTAGTTTTGTTTATGGGCATACTGGCTTTGTCCTTCACGTGGCCTCTAAGGGTGATAAAGTGAGAGTTACACGATCCACCTTAGGCAGAAATAGGAAATGTTGCTGTGAACACCAGCTGTTGCTTAGGTCGACTCGGGCAGCGAGAGGCCTCGGCCTTCCCAGGCGCTGCCAAATAAAGAGACTACTGTGTTGTGTAAGACAGTTTGCACCCCCACCTTTACTTTTCAAAAGGTGTTAAACTGCACAGGTGGGGAGGATTGCATAGTTTTAGCCATACAGGGGATGAAGGTTGCCATCTGAAAGAACATTATTTGCACAGCGTTGCAGCATTGTGGTTAATGTAGAATCAACATTTGTCAGCTGCCAGAGGCAGAGGCTCCGGAGGGTAGACGGGGTCTAACATGTCAGAGGATTCGCTCCTACCGTTTCACACACTTCTCTCGCAAATGAATGACGGCTTCCAAGACATCTCAGCCTCACAACTGACAGCACAGATTCCACATTCATCTCCTGCCTTATCTCCATGGGATCATACGCACAAGAAGTGAAGAGCAATTCCATTAGCTGTCAACAGCCGAGATGCCTCGCTAACAAAAACCTGGGGAATATGGGAGAGGAAAACATGATTGTAACCCCACTGGCACCCAGTGATATTACACACACCACAGTCACTGTCAAGATTGAATATTCACAAAGAAGTGCGTTAACAGGAGGCATATTTTCTATAAACCATGGGTATCTGTTTACAAACCAGCTATGGATTTATGTCACTCTTTAAACTTCATCTGTAATTAGTTCAAATTCTAAAAATTAGAATTGAATTAGATTATTGCACCTCAGCCCATAATGGACCTTGCAAGAGCTGCCCATGTTCACAGGACCTAAAAAGATAAATGATGAAACCTACAGTCAAGCGTTTATGTATCCCTAAAAGAGATTCCTACCAAAAACGAATGCCTACTGCCTAAGTGGTAAGAAAACATTTGAAGCAAATACAGAGACAAGTAGTCTTAAGAACTATATAACTGGTAGAGAAGTCGTTAACTGTTAACTACAATCTTTAAAAAAAAAATCCCCAGGATTATGCACTTTAATAATGCTAATAAGTGTTTTCACCCAACCCTCAACTATATTTTGTTATGAAAAAAGTACTTATTTGCTGCTATGTTAACATTTCAAAGAAACCTGGAGGTATATTTTTTTTGTTCCCTGAGATGAAATGCAATGACATTCGGTAAATCAGAAATCACGTCTGAAAAGACTGCATACTCTGCAACCCACGGTGTCGATCGAAGGCCACCTGCTTCAGTTGGACCAATACAGCCTAATATACAACTCCCCCCTTTAATTGCAACTGTGTGGTCAATCAGAAAGCATAAAACTCCCGGTGGGTAGGTGGCATCTGTCTGTGAGCTCTCCTACGATTGATGTGCCAGACTCTGGGAGCTGCCTGGGCCGGCATCCCACAACCTGCGACACAGCCCCATCACTTTTATGACATCTTAAGGAATCTTCTTTTTAATACAGCCCATTACTGCTGACATACAAATCTTCCCCAACATGGTCCTATCTATGGCCTGATCAATTTTTACACTGCTGAGCCGTCCCCTTTCCCCTCATTTTGTCATTTCAAAATTCATATTATATAGGATTTTCTTATGGGAAAAACTGCAATAAAAATACGTCACCACCCTGAAGATGTGCACAAGTCAGTGCTTGGCTGTTACTAAAAAGCTTCAGAGAAAATAAAATTTGTTTCTGTAGTAAGCAGAACTGTTTAAATGTTATTTATTTTTATGTTCCTAAGAAAATATATTGTGAAGTGCAGCATTGATTTAGAACATAACCATGTCTCGATACGGGTTGGAGGGGCTGAATTTATGAATCCTTTGCACAACTCCTTTAATTGAATTTTCCAAATCTCTCACCACACACAAATAATCAATACCTACAGCTGAGGGAAACTTGCCTCAGAATTATTAGGGCCTTTCTTTTTCAATTTTGTAGTCATCAGCACATACAGGCACCGTGGGTATTTGTAATGCCGCGACTATGCCCAGAGGATTTATGCTTGCCCCAAGCCTGATTGCTCACCAAAAGTGACTTCTTTAGACTGCTTACTGAAACTTTTGTTAACCTTAAAGGACAGTCGTAAGCGCTTCCTAACACTGCACTCTCACTCTGAGAACGAAGCACTTCTACCTATCACAGCATAAAGTGGGAGAGGAGAGGACAAGGCAGGAAAAAGGAGAGATAAAGAAAGAAAGCAGGAGGGAAGTAGACATAGGAGGAAAAGTAGGACTTTATGGTTTAAAAGTCCTCACGGATTTCAGCTGCCAGGACAGGAGGTGGAGGTGCCAGAGGCTTTGCTTAGCGCCAAAGACCCAGGGTACAGAGTCAGAACTCTTCCTGGAGTGTAATGGCTTTTGTGTTCATAATTACCATACATGTACATACAGACAACATACAAAACTCCAAAGTGTTCAGTGTTAACAATGTGTAACTCCTGAAAGCTACAAATGAAAAGTTAAATTAAGAAGTGTTCAAACACACCCATACTCAATTCAATTTACAGCATTACTTGGTCTGGTATGACCAGTAGCTAAC